TCTATTATTCGATAACAAATGAGAAATTTCATAAATACAATGTTTATTTATTTCCAGGACTAATGGGTTCGTAAAATAATTTCTTTCATGATAAGACGCCTGTATGTCAATGAAAACGAAGACAAATTATGAAAATAGAATCTGTTATTAAACATATTTTTGTTCAAAGACCAACACACCGACGATAGCATCGCTTGGCTGAGTTACAGTTGAAAAGGCTTGATCTAAAGCTGAAGACATTTCGAAGATCTGATGTTTGCCAGATCGTTTGTATTGATCAAAACAATAAGTAACTAATGCTCTTTCATCGTCGCTCAACGTTTTTCTTCCGTCACTTCTTGCACCTTGTTGATTTCTTGTATTCAGCCAAGTACTATTGCATTTGAGTTCTCCATGAATATAGAAGAATCCACCACATGCAATTCGAGTTTGATCATAATCACGGCCCATAACGCTCTTCAAAAGATAATCATGTGCACGTTCTTGTCCGGCTTCTGTTCGATATTCAGCAGGCCAGTTATCAATGCATTTTATGATGATATAAAAGCTTTGTCCGTTATAACCATTGGCTTCACCACCTACAAGTGCCCATATGATCACGGATATCATGGTCATTCTCAATGAAACTATCATTTCACTTACCAAAGTTACTCCATCGAAATTTACCATCTATAGCATAAACAATCATGCCAGCATAGTTGCGACCAGGTTCGAAATCATCACAGTAGAAAGATGTCTTACAGGTGATGGTACGAAGCTCATTTTTGATTCGTTTGTATAGTTCTCTGAAATTTTCTTTGCCCATGCTTGATGTCGATGAAAATTAATTTGTCGTGAGGATGTTTTTAATCTAAATCAGAACGATGGCATCGCTAGTAAGCTCATATACTGAATATCGGATGATCTGATTTAACGTGGCATAGTGGAAATCATGAGGAATTTGAAAAGGAAGAAACATCTGATCAACACCTTAAACTTAGATTTCAACTCAGCTAGTAAGCAAGTTTTTGTAGCGGGTTATTTCAAATATTTATTGACAATGTCATATTGTATTCAGCGATAGATACTCAACAAACCCTGATAGATTATGATATAAAATATCATTGAATCAGTTACTGAATCCCATGTATTGCATAGCTAACTGTTCTTCGTCTATTTCCTATCGTATAAGTCAATATTACTACACCGGTAATCGTTTCCAAAAGATTAATGGAGATGAGAGTAAAACAAGGGGGAACAGCAGACTCCGACTCCTCGGAGTCAAGTGGAGTCAAGCGGAGTCAGGTGGAGACAGGTGGAGACTAGGGATGCACCAGTACCAGTATACTGGGTACTGGTCATACTGGTAAACCAGTATATACTGGTTTTCTACTTTCGAAAATAACTATTAGCTAAATGAGTCATTTTCTCAGCCATCACTTCCTGTGTCTATATTCAAGTGAAAAATTCAGTTTTGCAGCAGTTTGAAACAGTATAAGATATTCTATACTCAACTA